TGGGGATATGAGGTACCTAATAGCCGGGGACGTAAGGTACCTGATTTCCAAAATTCCGACCGCAAACTGGCAAGTTGTGGTGCGACAATATCTAAATCGCCCACATACACGCCGCTGTCAGCTCAGCAAAAGCTAATTCATAAAGGGGTCGGAAGAGCTAGAATAGGGTTTTGGGGGTCATTGTAGTAGAATTCTGTAGGGGCCATAATAAGGGAATATTATGAGTACTTCTTCCGACCCCTATATCAACTGGGAATATTGTTCGTTGGGCTTCGGGTTTAGGGTTTAAACCCCAAAACCTTGAACCCTAAACCCTAAACCCTAAACCCTAAACCCTAAACCCTAAACCCTAAACCCTAAACCCTAAACCCTAAGCCCCTTCGACGTGTGGCCGGGATGCCGCAACAATGCTGCAGCCGATCACCGAGTACGCTGCCAGGAAGACCTCGCGGCTTGGGGCTTCTGAGGGCTGACCATGAAACCCTGACGGTTTGGGGTTTAGGGTTTAGGGTTTAGGGTTTGGGGTTTAGGGTTTAGGGTTTAGGGTTTAGGGTTTAGGGTTTAGGGTTTAGGGTTTAGGGTTTAGGGTTTAGGGTTTAGGGTTTAGGGTTTAAGGTTTTGGGGTTTAGGGTTTCGGGTAAACCGTTTAGTACCCCCTATTGGAACCCCAATGAATTAAGGACCGTTAGTATGAGGGGGAACATCCCACATCATCACGACCTCGCGGCTTCGGACCCGAAAGACATGTCAGGGACTTCTGAATGAATCTCAAGCGCGGATGCCAAGTTAGGGCAGGATGCCTAGTCATGCCTTCTTTCCCCTGCAACAAACTATGCCGGGAAGGCTTCAGCAGATGCGGCTTCAGGTCCGCGTAGACACTAACTTCTCAAGGCCCAAGACCCTTGACCCTAGACCCCAAAGCCCAAACACTAAACCCTCAACCCTACCAAGTGACTGGACCCTAAACCCTAAACCCTAAACCCTAAACCCTAAACCCTAAACCCTAAACCCCATAAAACCTGGCAAAGAGGATCTTGGGACTCTCGACACCAAGGCCCAAAACTGTGCCCGGCGCCAAGTCATCTGCCTAGGGATTCAGTAAGGTTTAGGGTGAAGGGTGTAGGGTTTTTCGGAGTTTAGGGTTTAGGGGTTTTCGGAGTTTAGGATTTAGGGTTGTGTAGGGTTAAGGGTTTAGAGTTCAGGGTTTAGGGTCTAGGGTCTAGGGTCTAGGGCAGCTGCGCCCACGCCAGCCTGACCAGCTTGGGTTGAGGGCGCCACGTCCCCGTAGCCCACCGTGGTGATGATCCTTTAGGTTTTAGGGTTTAAGGGTTTAAGGGTTTAAGGGTTTTAGGGTGTAAGGTTTAAGGGTTTAAGGGGTTAAGGGTTTTAGGGTTTTGGGGTTTAAGGGTTTAAGGGTTTAAGGCTTTAAGGGTTTAAGGGTTTAAGGGCTTAAGGGTTTAAGGGCTTCGGGTCCCCAAAACTCGGAGGCTCCTTGGGGCTACTTGTAAGTCTGGCTTCGGGGTTGTAGGGCTCAGGGGCTTAGGGTTTAGGGTTCAGGCTTTCGTGACTTGTGGTACTGGTACCCTATAAACACCTAAACTTCTAAGCCCCAAAACACACAAAAGCTCTGAAAACGATGTAAGCTCGAGGCCCCTAAACCCTAAACCCTAAACCCTAAACCCCAAAGCCCTTTGCGCCACGCGGCTCCACGCAGAAGTAGATCGCCTCCTCGAGCGCGGGAGGGGCTTTAGAGATCTAGGTTGGGATGTTCCCCCCATATTTACTAGCAGTCCTTAATAGGGTTGATAAAAAGGGGGTGCTATAATCCCTATTTTTGGACTGCTAGTAGAAAGGGGGAGCATCCCAGACTTTAGGGATTTGAGGTATTTAGGGCCTCTGGGATTTCAGGGTTTTGGGGGTTCTGAGGTTTTAGGGTTTAGGGTTCAGGGCTTCTGGGATTGTAGTGGGGGGGTTTGGGGTTTAGGTTTAGGGCTTCTGGGATTTCAGGGTTTTGGGGGTTCTGAGGTTTTAGGGTTTAGGGTTCAGGGCTTCTGGGATTGTAGTGGGGGGGTTTGGGGTTTAGGTTTAGGGCTTCTGGAATTTTAGGGCTGGGGGGTTTGGGGAGTTTCGGGTTTTGGGGGCTCTGGGGTTTTGGGGGGCTCTGGGGTTTTGGGGGGTTTTAGGGTTTTGGGGTTTTCAGGTTTTTGGGGTTTCGGGCTTCTAGGGCTTCACGCTTAGCACGGTCTTGGGGGTTTTGGGGTTTTAGGGCCTTGGGCTTGGGAGGCTGCCCCCTTATGCTAACAGTCCTTAATAGGGATTATGGTACCCCCCCCCCTCCTTTACTCCCTCTCCAGGACTGTTAGCAAGGGGGAACACCCCAAGGCTCGGCGTTTTTTAGCTTGGGCTGTTCGGCTTCATGGCTTCGGAGGAAGGCTGTAACGTCCCCACGAATCGGCTTGGAGGAGCCAGACTCTTTCATGACGTGAGGCCGCCAAAAAAAAAAAGATGGCGAACCCTAAACCCTAAACCCTAAACCCTAAACCCCAAACCCAGCTTTCTACATGTCGAAGAAGCAGCACAGGGGTTTACGATATTAGGGGTACCTTATTGGGGTCCTTCTTCTAAGGGGCTCCTTCTTTGCGGGGGGGTCTGTTTGAGGGGTCCCCTACTATCGTAAACCCCCGTATCTAAACTGGAACTTGGCTCTTGTCTAAGGGTTGTACCTTAGACCCTTGAGGTTGTACCCTTGGGTTTTGGGGACCTTTTTGGAAGACTCCTCAGGCAATATAAGGGCCATATTTAGGAGCATATTCAGGGTTTAGGGTTTGGGGTTTAGGGAACCTCTTCGGGGTACCACCTTGAAGTCTGAATCCCTTGATCTTGTGGACGTGTGCAGGTGCGCAGCACGCGTGCGCTCTCCCGAATGCTCGCATTGCCGGCACAGCCGGCACGGCACAGCCGGCACGCCGATTCTTCAGGTGGCGCTGGCGCTTCAGGCAACGCAACCCTGAAGCCCAAATGTGCAGCGGACTTTTAGGCTCACGGGGCCTTCTCTATGCTAAGCCAAAAGGGCTACGGTGACACAAAGCTACCAAGACACTGAACAGACAAAACAAGGCCTCTACTTTCCTACACGCCTCCCGAGGGCGGCAGGACGAACTCAGCAACCGTTCGGCTGTCCGAGCTGGAAAATCGCTACCAGAGCGTAGCCGCTCAAGCCCTTCAGGCGTTCAGTGCCAAGTGATGTCTACCGTCTGTGTAGTGATAGTTCATTCCGCTGAGAAGCATCTGGATCCGGGTTCTTTCCAAAGGCTTCGTAAGAAGATCTGCCAACATCTCGTCGGTTCCCTTCTTGCCCAGCAGAATTCTCCCTGATGCAACAACATCCTGCACCCAAAGGAATACTGTATCAATGTGTTTCACACGTCCCAGTCCATGGCGAGAACCGATGGATAATCCGGTATTTGCATCCATCCAAGCTTGAATGGGGAGAAGGATTCCCCAGTCCTTAAGGGTGGATTGCTCTCCAAGAGCATTGCATGAACCAGATACCAATCCATAGTACTCTGCCTCACCACTGCTTAGAGCAATGACAGCTTGGCTCTTACATCCGGTCTTGATGGTAGAGCCTCCAAGTCTAATGCAATAGCCTGTTGTGGATTTGCGGGACCGCAGGCACCCTGCGTGATCAGCATCCACCCAAAGCGTAAGTTTCGGGACACACGCTTGGTAGGGAAACAGGTGTACCAAACGCGGGTAGCTACGAAGATAGCGCGCCCCACGTTTGAGCATCATCAGATGCGCCGTGGTGGGACTTTTAAGTCCTTTGGCAAGCTCCTTTGCAAGCACCTGGAGATCTGGCCGGTCTTGCGATAGATAGGCCAAACGCATGCTCACAGAGCGGTACCACGAAGCATCCTCAGAGGATAACGGCTCGGCCTCCTCGACCTGCTCAATCCTCTCCTTTACCAAAGCCGTAGTAACCTTGGTGCCCTCACAGCCAACCTCCCTCAGGATTATGTCGACGTGTCGAGGGTCTGCTTCAAGCTCTATACCCCTGGAGGTCCACGACACCAAACGGTTGAGGATGTCGATGGACTGCTGGGTACCAACCATACCAGGCGGACCGAGGTAGCCACGAACTTCCACCGTCCAGTGTTTGCCCAGTTCTGCAGCAAACCACTCAAGCTCAGCCTTGGCTCCAAGGCCGGTGAAATCATCACCGTGAACTTCCACTCGAATTTCCTTTTCAGGATGGTAGTACAGACAGGAGTTGGAGCGCCCACGCACAAAGCCCAACTGAGTCATTACCCGCAGGATCGTCGCCTCCCAATTGGCTGGAGCATCTCGAGTTCCATAAAGGGACTTGCGCAGCAGGCCAACATACTTGGAGGTGTCCACGCCAGTTTCCGCAGGCAGCTCAATGAGCAAGCGTCGGCGAGCATCAGCCCAAAAATGCGCTTTCTTAATATCCATAAAGACCAAGCATTGGTCCTTCGGAAGATTGCGCATCTTTCCTTCCAGGTCTGGTGCCTTCTTTGTTGTTGCGAGGGCAAACAAAACACGCAGCGCGCTGATAGTCTTCCCATGTGGGCTGGTGCGCCTCCTGAGAGATGCCCCCTGGGTAACGCTTCTTAAGCTCTCTGGCCACAAGCCGGCTGCGGTACTTTGGGTTTGCCTCATCCTTCTTGTTGATGTCAACCCATCTGGTGGTGATGACCTTCTCTCCCTTAGGTCTAGGGATAACCTCCCAGACCCCCATCTCATTGATGGTTGAAACCTCCTCTTTGCGAGCCTCCTGCACAAGCTCTGGTCGAAGAGGTTTCCCCGACACATCGTCCCAATAGGACGTCTCAAACTTTTCGTAGAGATCTGTGTCGAACTTTTCTTCACATACAGGATAGGGATCCCCAGTAACCGAAGCTAGGAACCCAGCTCGAAGAGATAGAAGAAAGTCAAGTATCATGTCTCCTTCTTCTCCTCCGCCTGGATGCGGCCGCTTCGAAGATGAAGCCGGCTCGGAAGCCGTCACCTCCATGGCCGCAGGAACCCCAGGATCGGGTCTCGGTGCTGAACCAGCACTCGAGTCTCCAGCATCCAAGCGGGCTCGTTTGGCCTCTTCGGCCTTAGGCTTCTTGGCGACCTGCGCCTCCTGAGCAGAAGCCCCTTCGGTGGTCCTCTTGGCCCCCGGTACAGCAGGAGAATCGGAGTCCGGAGGTGGATCACCAATCCTCATTTTAGATCTCGGGGTCTCCTTCAACTTCGCCGCAGCTAGTCGCTTCTTTCCCTCGTCAGTCTTAGCCATCTCGCCGACCACCCGGCTTCTGCAAAACTCGGTGTGGTTAACACCCTCTCTAGAAATGCCCATCCGGATCAAGTCACAGGCAGGGCAAGAAGCAGTGTAGCCATGTCGGTCGAGATCTTGCTGTCTCAGGTAAACTCTCTTCAAGAGCTCAGGCTTAGGCCCAGCCTCGACGTCAGTAGCCGGCTCGTCGGGCAACTCGGGCTCTATAGCCACGGCGGCGGGAAGCTCCAAAGCTTCGTCTGGACGTGCCGCCTTCTTGGGTTGAGGCGCCCATGGCGTCCCCTTCACCTTTTTAAACAACTCAGCATCCCACCTCAGCTCTTTCGGCTTCCGGCGGATAGACTGAACCACGACCACGCCATCTTCCGTGGCGATGATCTTTTCCGTAGTGCCAAGCCGAACACCACAGTATATACCAACTTGCCACCGGGGCTCCAGTTTGTGCTTTGTCCGCACCCGGTAGTCCACAGTTTCTCCCCAGGCAGGAAGGGCCACAGCCCAGTCACGTCCTTTTAAACGCCTGAAGGGGGTAAGTCCATCTTTCATGGTCTCGTCGTGGGAGAAGAGAGTATACATGCTCCCGGCATGTTCCACCAGCCAACCCAGAAGGGGGGACTTAGGATGGATACGCTCTCCCAGGCCCTTTTCACACGCATCCTTGTACGTGCGGCAGAGCCCTTGGGTTATCTCAACAGCGGCCTCGGCTTCGCCATTGCTCTTCCCATGATCATCGCCCTTGGGCGAGTGCTCCAGTTGTACACGCACTCCTGGTCGGGCAGCGAAAGAGTTCTTTACTGCCTCTGCCAACGCCCGAATGGAGCTCTCCTCACGAACCACAAGGACAGGCATCTTTGCCCCACCGACAGCATCCGAAGGTAGCTCGCCAGGAGCTCCAAAGAAACCATAGTCTATGGATATTACCGGGACCTCCTCAGGGTCCTCAGGCCTGTTTACCCTATGGTGTGCAAAGCTTTTGCCGCGTCCTCGGACACAGTGAGAACACCAAGCCCGATAGGGGATGTGACTCACATTGTGAGCTTCTATCTCCTCCGGGTTTGGTAGAGCCGGTGCTCGCATGGGCTTCGCGGCTCTTCCTTCTGAAACTTCTGGCACGGGGGCTTCGTCGCCTCCAGCAACGGGGCCCGGTGCCTCGCCCTCCAAGGGGCCCAGTGGGCCTGTTGGCCCTCGGGGGCCCGAGCTGACGCAGCTCTGGACCCCACTGTTCTTTGGTCTTACAGGCGAGCATCGCCCCGCCCCACGAAAGGGTGGGGGCTTAGCTCGAAAAGGCTGTTGGCGGTGTCCATCCACACCGGAAGGACGTACACACCGTTCTTGAGGAATTTCTTCCCCGTGGTCGTCTCGAGGTAGCTCACCTTGGGACCCAAAAGGACACGATTGCCCCGGGAGGTCACCTGCCCCACCGACAGGAGGGGCTGCGAGATCGCAGCCACCGAGGCCCGGATCTCCAAGGTCTCATCTCCCATGAGCCAGGCCTTAGTCTCCAGGGTCCCCTCGTTCTCGACCACGTTGCCGTCAACCAGGCGGAAGCTGCTGTAGCCAACGGGCTTCTTGAGCTTCGTGCGGTCACCCAGAAGCTTTCGAGGAAGGGTGGTGGCGCTGGCCCCAGAGTCCACCACGAAGTCCACGCGGGTCCATCCCGGCGTCGCAGAAGGGGCCGAGCCACCACTAAGGGCAGCCAAGTGCCCAACCCTTCCTTTCACTCTTTCGGCCTTTTCGGCCTTCCTTCTTTGCTCTCTCTTCCGCTCTTTCCGGTGCTTCTTCTTCTTCTTCTTCTTCGCCTCTGTGACCCTTTTCTCCGTAGGGGGTAAGGTCCTGGTCCGCGCCCGGACCTCAGGCAGCTCGGCGTGGGGGTCTTCTTGCAGCAAGGCGTTTCGAGCGTGCCGGGAGAGAGGAGCAGCGGCCACCTCGTCCTTTAGCGCGCCTTCGGCCAAAGGGAAGACTTGGGTCTTCTTCCCGGACCCAGGTTGGTTGAAGCGAAGAGCCCAGGTAAGCTGTGCCCCCAGGTTCTCTCTTGTACGCTTCTCCTGGGTGCCCAAGCGGTGCTTAGAAGCACGCCGTCGGGACTTCTCCTTGAGGTAGGCAAGGCGACCTCCCATCTCCGCTTTGTCTCTCTCCTGGCGACTGGAGTAGTTTTCTCTCTCCCCTCTTCGCGTCGCCTTCTGCTCGTCCTTGAGGTTGCTCAGGACGATTTCGAGCTCCTTGAGCTCTGTCTGGATGGCCTCACGCGACGGGTCGTCCTCGGCAAGGTCGTCGAGGGACTTGGTCAGAGCATCCCGTCGGGCCACCCTAGCGTTGAGCATCTCGCCGAGCAGCACCGAGCGAGAAGCCTTGGTGACGCCAGAAGCCGCAGGAGCCCGCGCCGAAGACGGCGCTGAGCCTCCTTGCTGCTCCCGCCGATGCGGCGGGACGTACTTCCCAGACGCCGTGGCCCTCTCAGGCTCTTCCGGCTCTGGGTTTGCAGTCCGGGACTCAGGCACCGAGCCTTTAGCCTTCTCACCCTTCTTGGCCCTCTTATGAGGGGGAACGTACTTCTCCACAGAAGGCTGTGGTTCCTCCTGGGGCTCCTGTGGGGGAGACGTAGAGGCTTCTAGCTTGCTTCGGCAGCGGGCGATCCTCCTCCTCAGGTGGCGAAGTGCCTCGAGACTTCTTTGTCTTCTTCGGCAATGGCGGCTCCTCCTCCTCGGGGATGGGCGAAGTGCCTTGAGACTTCTTCGTCTTCTTCGGCTTGTTTCGCCCTGCCGCCGGTGACTGGGATCGGCTCACGGAACCCGAGGTGCCCGAACCACTGCCGTACCGATGCCCCGGCAGGTCACCTTCGGGCTCTACCCTAGCAGGGGTGCCCTTGAACCGGTCCTTCTTTTCTTTCCGTCACCCAGGCCTCTTCCGAAGTCTCCTGGGTCGTCTCCTCGACGACCTCGTCCTCGGCACTCTCGCTCTCGCTTTCTTCACCTTCCGAGTACAAGCTCTTGGGCACGTGTTTGGAGTAGTCGGGCTCCTCGGGAAGGTAAATCCACGTCGGGTCGGGGCCACAGTGTGCATCGGGGCCCCTTACTTCACGAAGGGGAGCTCGGACGTAGTACCCCTGTCGGGCCTCCCGGTCCCAAGCGGTCCACTGGTCCTTGTCAGGGTGGCCCGGAGTGCCCAACTTCGACCACAAGTGGGCGTTGAGGCCATCCTCGTTGTACCTTTTCTTTTGGCCCTTGCAGCCGGGGCAAGGACACCAGTAGGTGGTTTTACCATCCTTGTCCTTTCCCACAGCACACTGCGCATCAGCACTCGGCCCCAGCACGCACAGGTAGCCCAGATCGCCGTCTCCAGTGGGCTCCTCGCCCCCTTCTTCCTCCGGCCATTCTTGGCCGTCCGCGCCTTCGCCCTCGAGGGAATGGGCTTTGCCCTTACCAGGCTTGTTGCCCTTTCCCTTTCCTCCTTTTCCCTTGGACGGCTTGCCGCCTTTGGGGTCTTTCGGCGCTGGCGGCTTCCCAGTTCCACCGTTCTCCTTGGCGTACCAACAGTTGCTTTTGCGGTGGCCCTTTCTCTGGCACAGGCGGCACACGATGTCCTTGTCCGGGTTCCCTTGACCTTTGGCACCACCGCCCTTGCCGCCCTTGGTGTCCTTACCGCCCTTGCCCTTGCCCTTGAAGGCATCGAGTTCCATCGGCGTAGCGCCGCCGTCGTCCACCTTTGCAGACTTCTGCTCGGTATACGAGATCACTTCGGCGCGGGCCTTCGCACACGTGTCCAGCCGAGCAATGTTCATCTCGAGGTGGTCCTCCAAGGTCTCGGGCACCATGCTCAGGAGGATAGTCACCTTCTGAGCATCCTCGAGGTCCTTGTTGCCTCTCTGAACGTACTCGGCGAGGTCGGCCTCCCACTTGTCGATGGAGGCCCGCAACTGCTCCAAAGTGAAGCGGGGCTGCACAAGGATGCGGCGAAGCAACCGCATGTTGCTCCGAGCATTGCGCGGCTCATATACGTGGCAAAGCCGACGCCACGCATCCAGGCCACACCTCTTCCGGGCATTAAACACCACCGTGTAGGGCATCTCGCTCGTCAGCGAAATCAAGGCCACATGCAACTGGCGATCCACATCCACGGCCTCCGGCACCTTGTTCACGTACTCGGTGAGGGTGGACTCCTGGATCGTCTCGTCGCCCTTGTTGCGTGCCCAGTCCAGGCACTCCTGACCTTTGGTCGGAAACTGGGAGCTGAACCAGCTCTCGAACTTGTAACTCCAAGCTTTCCAAACCTTTCTCGCATCTTCGTGCGAGCCCTTCAGGATGTCGGGCTTTCCAACGCCCTTTATGTCCACCACGGAGGACTTCTTTGCCATGGCATCGAATGCCCTTACCTGGGCCTCAGCAGTTGCCCTTTGGGTGTTAACCTGCTCCTTCAAAGCGGCCTCCAGCAACTCGAACCTCCTGTTCGACTCCTGGCTCATCTGAGCCATCCCTGTCTGCACCTGCTGGAGGATTTGGCCGAAAATCATTTCAGCAGAGCCCTGTGCACCTGGTGCCGAAGTTGGGCTTCCACCAGGCGAAGCCATCACTTGTTCTTATAGAACTTCGAAAGGCGGTGGAGCACGGACCCTGACTGGCCCTGCAGGAGCTGGCCTATCGCGGCCCAAAGCCTCTGGAGCCTCCTCCACTTCCAGAGGTGCCTCAAAAGGCGAACCCCCACCTAGCCCTGGCCCGAGCCGATGCGGCTCTGAGCCTGAGCTGGTGGATTATCCACACCGATACGCCTCTGTTTCTCCGAGGTTCGGTTGCCACCACCGTCCAGGAGGCACTGGATCCAGCCGCCTCACTTCGGCGGCTCCTGTTCCAGAGCTCCGCTACCATGCAGCGGACTTTTAGGCTCACGGGGCCTTCTCTATGCTAAGCCAAAAGGGCTACGGTGACACAAAGCTACCAAGACACTGAACAGACAAAACAAGGCCTCTACTTTCCTACAACATGCTGAACCCTAAAACCCTGAAAGCCTGGAAAGACGAAAGCCCTAAGCCACTACAACCCGAAACTCTGGAACACTAGACACAGAACCCTAAACCCTAAACCCTAAACCCGAAACCCTAAACCCTACACGCTAAAGCCTAAACCCTAAACCCTACAAACAAACCCGACATCTTGTTCAGGCCATCCCAGTCCTCCAACTTCAGCTTCCTGGTGTCGCCCAAAACCTGAGGGGGGGAGGGGGGGGTTTAGGGTTATATAGGGTTTAGGGTTTAGGGTTTCGGGTTTCGGGTTTAGGGTTAGGGTTTAGGAGGTTGTGGGGGGGGGGGGGGGGGTTGGGGGGCAGTTGGGGGGTTTTGGGGGTTTGGGAGGAGTTTTGGGAGGGATTTTCCCGAAAGCCTCAACCTAAACGTTTACAGCTTAGGGGAATGTTTCGGGATTTCTGGGATGTGGGGTGTTTCGGTCTCAGGGGGTTTCAGATTTATGGACGTTGGGGGCTTTGGGGCATGGGGGGATGTTTACATTTAGGGATTCAGGGATGTGGGGGGCTTCAAAGTTGCGTTGGCAAGCACAGCCGATGTCGCCACTTTGGGACTAACAGCGTGGCGCAAGCTAAACCCTTAACCCTATAAAGCCCCACCCATCTTCGCCGGGTCACGGCGAGTTCGAAGACGTACCTCAGGTGTGGCAGTGCATTCGACACGCCCGGAACCTTACTCCACTGGGAACCATGACGAAAATGAGATGGAGGGGCTTAAGGGTTTATGGTTTAGGGTTTGTCAGCAAGAATGAAAAAACACTTCGCCAGGAGACTAAAGGCGTACCCTATACTCACTGGGCGGTCAGGGCACATGAATGCGGCAATGCCAACCGAGGCCCATGCAAAGATGACCCCGCCGCCCACCTGGTTAGAGGGATTTTCGGTCTGCTGTCCCCCCCCCACCCCCCGCGCCAGCTATGCGACAAGGGAACATCCGTGTTGGGAGGGCTTAGGGTCTAGGGACCCTAAGCCCTAATTAACGCAGATACACCCTAAACCCCCCAAGCCCTTGTGGGGGGGAATCTTGAAGGTTCATGGGTACTTACAAGTGGGGTTCTAAGTACTGTACCGGATGCAAGGTTAAAGCCAAACTTTCCTAAACCCTAAAAAGCCTGAAATTGTTGAATTTGGGCTCAGAAGTCTGTTGCTGGTACAGGGGGCTCCGAGCGATGTCCCTGGACACTAGCACTGAGGGTTTCGGGGGGGGGGGGGGGGGGGGGGTTGTCGGGTTCGGGAATGACGGGTCGCGCTGCGGCGGCAAAGAGGAAGGTTTAGGGCTTAAGGTTTAGGGTTTAGGCTTTCGGTTTGGGGTTCAGAGAGCTCACGGGCAAAGTCAGCCAGTTGACCCTAAACTCCAAAACCATGCAATCCCTCGCTCTGCCTGCATGATGAGCTTGCTGTTGCAGAACCACGGCGGGCAGCGAGGTGTTGCCTTCTCCTCGTACTCCTCCACCAATTGCTTCAAATAGAAGGCCAGGTACCTCACTGCACTGATCAAGGACGCCCTTGGGTTCTTGACACGAGGGGGGTTCTGTCAATTCTCGTATCAAGCTTCTTCATTGCCGTGATGCGTGCTGCCTTCACCGAGTCATCCCACCATCGCTGCAACAGCGAATGGCACTGGATGTTGCATGTACGCGCTGTACCACTTGCCGGCTCTCACCACTGAGTACCCAAGTAGCTGCGTGCAAGAGGCCTTTCCCTGAAATCATACATCATGAATTCATGAATCATGAGCCACTCAAAGTCTCACCGTAAACCCTAAACCCTAAACCCTAAACCCTAAACCCTAAACCCTAAACCCAAAAAGCCCTAAACCCTAAACCCTAAACCCTAAACCCTAAACCCTAAAGCCCTAAGCTATCCTGCAGGGTAAGGTGCAGCATGAGAAGCAAGCCGCCAGCCGCACAGGCGCACTCAGTCATGCCCGAGTGCAGCGGACGGTGCTTGGCGTACGCAACAAGCGCCTGACGGTTTTAGGGTTTAGGGGTTATTAGAGTTATTAGAGTTATTAGAGTTATTAGAGTTATTAGAGTTATTAGAGTTATTAGAGTTATTAGAGTTCTTAGAGTTATTAGAGTTATTAGAGTTATTAGAGTTATTAGAGTTCTTAGATTTATTAGGGTTATTAGAGCTATTAGAGTTATTAGAGTTATTCGAGATATTAGAGTTATTAGAGTTATTAGAGTTATTAGAGTTATTAGAGTTATTAGAGTTATTAGAGTTATTAGGGTTTAGGGTTTAGGGTTTAGGGTTTAGGGTTTAGGGTTTAGGGTTTAGGGTTTAGGGTTTAGGGTTTAGGGTTTAGGGTTTAGGGTTTAGGGTTTAGGGTTTAGGGGTGTTCCGTGCTCGGCGCAGCTAGCTCTTCAGGGCGCAATTGTGGGCTGACCAATGTGACGATAGCTAGGGACCCCAAACATGGACCCCCAAAATAGTAGGATCTCCTTACAAAGAGGACCCCAAGAAGGTACTCCGAATATCGCAAGCCCCCAGATGATGCAACCCCTAAACCCCCAAACCCCAACTCAGCCGACATGAAACTCTTTAAGGACACGGCGCCGGCAACAACTTTGTAGAGGTGGGCCCGAGATCGGACTCGTTGTCTTGCGTCAGGAGCTGCGTTCGGTTCACCTGAACAGGAAGGGATCAGGTTTCGGGCTGAAGGGGCTTTTAACTTGGAGGTTTCAGGGGTTTGAGATTTCATTTCAGGGGCTTTAAGGGATTTTCAGGGTTCAAGGTTCGTCGGGGGTTCAGGGTTTAGGGTTTAGGGTTTAGGGTTTAGGGTTTAGGGTTTAGGGTTTAGGGTTTAGGGTTTAGGGTTTAGGGTTTGGGTTTAGGGTTTAGGGTTTAGGGTTTGTTTAGGGTTTAGGGTTTAGGGTTTAGGGTTTAGGGTTTAGGGTTTAGGGTTTAGGGTTTAGGGTTTAGGGTTTAGGGTTTAGGGTTTAGGGTTTAGGTTTTATGGTTTAGGGTTTAGGGTTTAGGGTTTAGGGTTTAGGGTTTAGGGTTTAGGGTTTAGGGTTTAGGGTTTAGGGTTTAGGGTTTAGGGTTTAGGGTTTAGGGTTTAGGGTTTAGGGTTTAGGGTTTAGGGTTTAGGGTTCAGGCGGGCGCGGGTGCGGGGGGAGGGAAAGGCTTGTAGCTGGACGTGGGTTCAGGGTTTTCGTGTGTGAGACATTTGAACTCGTTTGGTGGGGGGACCTCTTTCCTGAAGCCCCTTCAGCGGTTCTGGGTTCAGGATTCAGGGTTCAGGGTTCAGGGTTTAGGGTTTAGGGTTTAGGGCCCTTGCAACCCTCGTACATAGTGTCAGCCCCGTCATGCGACGTCTCGAGCCGAAATCTTAGGGACGTCTTTGGAATAGGCTGCCGCCACACCCTATAAACCCATGAACCCCCCCAAACCCAAAACCCTCACCCTAGCCCCTAAACCCTAAACCCTAAACCCTAAACCCTAAACCCTAAACCCTAAACCCTAAACCCTAAACCCTAAACCCTAAACCCTAAACCCTAAACCCCAAACCCCAAACCCCAAACCCCAAGAGCCTTGCCTCCACCTGTGCTTGGAGGAGGCCTTGGGCCGCACCCAGCTGCACCTCCCAGAGCTCTTCATCTTCATCCCAGGCGTGTGGGGTTTAGGGTTTAGGGTTTAGGGTTTAGGGTTTAGGGTTTAGGGTTTAGGGTTTAGGGTTTAGGGTTTAGGGTTTAGGGTTTAGGGTTTAAGGGTTTAGGGTTTAAGGGCTTAAGGGTTTAGGTTTTAGAGTTTAGATCCCCATAAAGGTCTGAAATGCCGGGGCTACTATATGCTTACAACCCGATAAGCCCTGGCACACGTTTGGCCAAACCCTAAACCTTAAACACCTTAAACCCTATAAACTTCAACGCGCAGGGCACTCAGGAAACGTCTTGGAAAGGCCCTTTCAGGTCAAGGGAAAGGTTCTTGCAGAACTTGCCTTTCTTAACGGCAAGCGCGGTGTTGAAGAGATGAACGCAAGATAGGCCCCGCATGCAGTCCAAGTACGACAAGTACGACCCCGCGAGAAGGATGAAGCGATGTCGGCGGCACCCGCAGCTCTCCCCAGGGCTATTGCGGTTTAGGTGCATGGGCTCTTGTAAAAAGTATTGTTACACCTAAAAACCCTCTTGAAAAGTACCTATGAATCTGCAAGTAGGACTTTTCTCAAGGGCTTATGGAAATGATATGGAGGGCCGTAAGCTGGTCGGATGAGGGGGCCCACCTCGCATTGGCGTGACTCCAGAGACGCTGCACACAGCAAAGCAGAGGTCAGCAGGGTGGCGCAGGGGGCCCATTGCATGAGACTTTGGGGTCTTCGACCCCCGGTGAAGGGTAAGGTTCGATGGTAAGGTGATGCGTGACTTGAGCCAGAGCCCAGGATAAGCGCCAGGGTTTTTCGGCAATTGCTTCACTTTTTTCAGGGGTGCTTCTGAGGCGCCTCAAATACACCGTCCTCACCGCTCTTCGCCGCAATTTCCCGATTGTTTGAAGTCGGGGGGCTGCATGCTTAGGACTCTTCCAAAAGGATTTCGGGTGCCAGGGTAAGTCAACCACAACTTCAACAACGCAACAAGACTTCACGTGTCTTCCTGGCCTCATGACCTCTCAACCCCGCAGCCTGTGACTCCATTTACAAAGGGTTTAGGGTTTAGGGTTGGTTTAGGGTTTAGGGTTTAGGGTTTAGGGTTTAGGGTTTAGGGTTTGGGGTTTGGGGTTTGGGGTTTGGGGTTTGGGGTTTGGGGTTTGGGGTTTGGGGTTTGAGGGTTTAATTTATAGGGTTTAGGGTTTATGGTAGAAATGGCTCAATGGGGTTGAACTTTCAAATGTCTTCGGATTCCAAACCCTAAACCCTACAGCCTTAACCCCACTGCCGTGGCCCTGGCAGCGCGATGTTGCCAGGAGATTAGGGTCTGCCCCCTCCCTGCACCACTGAGGGCTTCGGCACTGGGAGTGGGTTCGGGGTTTAGGGTTTAGGGTTTAGGGTTTAGGGTTTAGGGTTTAGGGTTTTTAGGGTTTATAGGGTTTAGGGTTTAGGGCAAGAAGAGAACACCAGAACATTGTCAGGGGTGGGGGAGAGGAAGCAGGAAGGGGATGTGCAGTTGGACAGCAGGCTTGCCTACTTCCGTGGTCTTGCATCAACATCACTCGCGCACTGCTTTGAACTTGCAAGCGTCTGGGCTTGCAACTAGCGAAGATTTATGCGCAGATGTGCAAAAGCTGTTGGAGTTTCGAGCCACATGCTTGGCGACAGTACGAATATGTCTGCATAAGTCTTCTGCCAGGTCAAAAAGTTGCCAACGAAGGGGGTCTTTGCTTGAGGATTTAGCATGTCACGTGCTCTTACACCTTCCAGAATTTTCCGATAACCCTAACCCTAATTCCCAATATCTAAGCTAGTGAGAGTAACCTAGTAGCCCAGTAACCACATTATAATCAGGGCACCCTTTTTTGGTTGGTTACTTTATCAGCGAACCCAGAAACAGGGCACCACTGGGCTACTAAGGTAACTAGCGTAGACCCTCAACCCTAGACCCTAGACCCTAGACCCTAAACCCTAAACCCTAAACCCTAAACCCTAAACCCTAAACCCTAAACCCTAAACCCTAAACCCTAAACCCTATCACTAGCGTAGTCGGCTCATGCGCAAGCACCGAGGGATTTGTGGCGCCTCAGCGCTCGTCTCAAGTGCCTGGGCTTGCCCCCGCTGGCTGCCTGAAAGAGGGCTGCCTGGCTGTTCAGGGATAAACCCTAAACCCTAAACCCCCCTAAACCCTAAACCCTAAACCCTCAACCCTAAACCCCAATAAACCCTAAACCCTAAACCCTACACCCTACACCCTAAACCCTAAACCCTAAACCCCCCTAAACCCTAAACCCTAAACCCTAAACCCTAAACCCTAAACCCTAAACCCTAAACCCTAAACCCTAAACCCTAAACGCTAACCCTTTCGTGAAAAGCTCATGCACCACATCCCCAGGCTTGGAGGTTCCTGGGTACCTAGAAGTGAGGTTTTGGAAGTAAGGTAACTGAGGTGATCGCTGCTTGGAGGTTCGCGGTACTTTTTAACCAACTATGGTTAAAAACTGTACTTATAACCCACTTATAAGCCTCTTAAGTGCCCTATACTATGGTCAGAATTAGAAGTACAGCTAGTACAGTTATACTTGGTTACTAAGTACCCTGAACCTCCAAGTTAGGGCCTGGTCACTTCTGCCCTACTTTACAAGTACCCATGAAGCTCCAAGCAGTTGAAGCAAGGCAACCCGCTGTGGCGACCTCCGATCCTGATGCTAAACCCTAAACCCTAAACCCTAAACCCTAAACCCTAGTACACCCAAAAAAACAACTCCCCGGTCCCAGGCGCCTGTGGTGGCATATGGCCGTCCAGCGGACCTTCTCTGGGTTTGGGGTTTAGGCTTTGGGTTCCCTAAACCCCCCAAAGGCCAAGCTATGGTCACAGGAAGGCACGCCCGAATTTTCCCTACCCCAAGAAGAGTCCCTGCAAGCACAGAGCGCGGCTTTGACTTCGGAGTTTGGGGGGCTGTTGAACACAACCCTTGGCATCATCACGTCAGGCATGCCGAGTGGGAGCTCAAATCCGTTCGAGTTTAGTTTGGGCCGGCCGAGACTTTTTCCACGCGTTTCCATGGCTTCAATTCTGAATTCGGCACCCGGCCTTCAGCCTGCCTCCTCGTCGGCGATGTCGGCCACCAGGTCGCGCATGGCTGCTTCAAGCATCCTCACGCTGGGGGGAACAGCAGTGGACCCGAAGGGACCACTGAAGGGAGCGTTCCGCGCCTGGCTCACGCCCGCATCCTCTTCGCTGGCATCGGAGTCGGACTCTTCCTCACTGCCCTCCGAGTCCTCGCTGCCCTCGTCCCCGCTGCTCTCAGACGGGGTGCCGGTGGTGTCGGCGCGGGCAGCACGGGCCTTGCGGACGGCCAAGGCTGCCGCCAGGCCTGCGGGGGAGAGCTGGATCCCTGGCACGTTGCCAAACTTTGGCAGGTTTGACGGGTAGCCTCCATCCGGTCGTCCGATCTCCCGCTTCTCCTCGTCCTTCTCCGTGTCTTCGGGCTGGCTTCGCTCACCGTCTCCATCACCGCCATCGCCGTCGCCCTTCACGGCACGGACCATCACCTCGTCCTGGCAGCGGCGGCAGGTGCAGACGAAGCCCCAGTTCCTCCAAAGCGCGGCGACGCGCTCCGGCAGGGGCGTGGACGGGGAGACGTAGGCGAGGTTCAGCTCGTCCCCCGCCCGCACCTTACGGAGGGCCACCATGTCGGCGAAGCAGCCATCGGCATAGCGCATGGTGAAGTTGGGCTGGCAGGAATGATTCGAGAGGGCCACGCAGGGGTAGAGGGCACTGCCCTCAAACCTCGGGAGATTGAAGGGCTCCTCGCCATCCTTCCTGCTGGGGGCCGTTTCCTCCGGATTCTTCACATCCGGCTCCTCACTGCTGGCACGAAGCTTCTGCAAGGCCTCCTGACAAGCCCGGACCAGGCCCCCGTAGGACTTTCGGAAGACCTCATCCCTACACCTCTCCTGCAGCTGCTCATTCAAGGGGTGCTCAATCTGCACCCACACGTTTGAGAGGGAGAACTGCCCGATCAGGTTGGAGTAGTAGTCCAAAGACAACCTGGGGCAGGTCAGGGCGGGGAACTTGAGATCCGATGACAACACAAAAGCACCCCAGCAAGGGCGGCATGTAACCCAAGGATCCCGAATACTGCTAAGGCATTTTCAGATTCCCTAAGGTTAGGCCCTGAACCCTGAACCCATGAACCACAAAAAGCCACAGGTGCCCCAAAAGCCAAAACCTATAAACCTACACCCTAAACCCTGAATCCTGAAGGTTCACCTTAAACCCTAAGCCCGAAACCCAAACCGAAACCTAGACCCCTAAACCCTAAACCCTAAACCCGAGACACCAAACCACAAACCCTAAACCCTAGCCCTGAACCCTAAACCCGAGACCCTAAACCCTAAACCCTAAACCCTAAACCCTAAACCCTAAACCCTAAACCCTAAACCCTAAACCCTAAACCCTAAACCCTAAACCCTAAACCCTAAACCCTAGCCCTAAACCCTAAACACCCCCCAAACGCCCAGCCACACTTCCGACCATTGCTCCTCCCAGAGGATGGCGACCAGAAGCTCCAGCGAGGCAAGGACCACCTGTCCAGCGATTGCGAGGGCTGAGGGTATAGGGTTTAGGGCTAGGGTTTAGGGTTTAGGGCTAGGGCTTAGGGTTTTGGGTTTAGGGCTTAGGGTTTAGGGCTTCGGGTTTGGGGTTTAGGGTTTAGGGTTTAGGGCTGAGGGCTTAGGGTTTAGGGCGTAGTCCGGGAATTCAGGAGTCTATACTGAATGTATTTAGGAAGTTTGGGCGCTTAGGAATGTAGGGGTGTAAGGGCTTTAGGAAAGTAGAGGCTCGGGGCTCCGGGTACCTTATCATCCTTTTTGAACCATTTCAAAGGATTGTCTAGGGTACCTTTCATCTCCAGATGCGACTAAAGACAAGGGCGCAGCAAGTCTGAGTTCTCAACACCGGGGAAACATGTGCTCCTCATACTCAGAAGTTGGGAAGCATCTGCGAGGGTCTCCGAAAAGAGGGATGCCCTTTTGGGTGGTGCCTCCAATGAAGAATAAGCTATGTTGAGGTATGTACGGGGCACCTATTTGGAGAAATGGCCCGTGCATTGTCATGGTCGTCTTTTCGGGGCTTTTTTCTACCCTAAACCCTAAACCCTAAACCCTAAGCCCTAAACCCTAAACCCCTAGGGTTTGGGGTTGAATGCTTCGGGCCAAGGCGCCCTAGATCCCGAACTCCCCAACGAGGAAGTTCCCTGCAACAACCCTAAACTCCCTATACCCTGAAAAGTCCCCTAACCCTAAACCCTAAACTCCCCTAACCCTAAACCCTAAACCCCAAACCCTGAACTCTGAACTCCCTGAACCCTCAACATCCTATACCCTGAACCCTAAACCCCGCGGGTAACCCCAGGGTTACGGGCCATTCCTTCCCTAAACCCAAAACCCTAAACCCTGAAACCCTGAAACCCTGAAACCCTGAAACCCTGAAACCCTGAAACCCTGAAACCCTGAAACCCTGAAACCCTGAAACCCTGCCTGAAACCCTGAAACCCTGAAACCCTGAAACCCTGAAACCCTGAAACCCTAAACCCCTAAACCCTAAATCCTAAACCCTAAACCCTAAACCCCCGTCCTTCCCGCCTGTTGTCGTCGCTCCCGCCTTCCCTGGGCCATGGCCGCCAGCTTCCCGCGGAGGGGCCCCGCCTGGATGGAAGCTAAACTTAGGGTTTCGGGTTTCGGGTTTAGGGTTTAGGGTTTAGGGTTTAGGGTTTGGGGTTTAGGGTTTAGGGTTTAGGGTTTAGGAGTTTAGGAGTTTAGGAGTTTAGGAGTTTAGGAGTTTAGGAGTTTAGGAGTTTAGGAGTTTAGGAGTTTAGGAGTTTAGGAGTTTAGGGCTTAGGGTTTAGGATTTAGGGGTTAGGGTTGGGGGTTAGGGGTTAGGGTTCTTCAGGGTTTTGTGGAGGTTGGAATCGGTTTTCGGATTTGCAGGATTTGGGGTTGAGGATTTAGGATTTAGGCTTTAAGACTTGTAAGGCTTGTAGGGCTTAGAAAGTTTGCGTGGGCTTCTCTGCACCTTAACGCCCCGGGCCCTAACGCAGGAAGACCTGACAGGCCAAGTCCGAATATGGGATCGAGGCTGGAGCGGTGGAGTTTTTGACCCTCCGAAAGAGAAAAACACATTGAGTGGAGCCCGGGGTGCCTAGGGGAAATTTTTTTGGGGGGGGAGTCTTACACCCTAAGCCCTAAACCCTAAACCCGGTCCTGCCTGACAGGCGGACATGGAGGGCATGCTCTGCATGTTCAGCCAGGACATCTTCATGAATCGGCTGAAGTATGCCATGGCCTCCCAGAGCTCCACAACCCCAAACCCCAAACCCTAAACCCTAAACCCTGAGCCCTAAACCCTAAACCCTAAACCCTAAACCCTGAACCCTAAACCCTAAACCCTAAACCCTAAACCCTGAATTGACAATTTAAGTCTGCTATTTTGGGTGATGTGCAGTTAAGGGGAGAAAAATATCTTGGAAAGGTCTGGGACCAGTTGGGATCCTACACCCTAAACCCTAAACAAGAAATCCACGACCTCCCACAGCTCCACGTTGGAGTACTTCACCAGACAGATGATCTCGGCAATGACCCGGGCTGCGGCGATGAACTGCTCGTGGTACTTTACGGAGTATTGCCTCGGGGCTGGCCCCTGAAAACCCTCTGAAAAAAAGTTGATGAAGATGATCCTCATACACCCTAAACCCTAAACCCTAAACCCTAAACCCTCAACCCTAAACCCTAAACCCTAAACCCTAAACCCAAAACCCCACCCCCCCCCCCCCCAAAAAAAAAAAAAAAAAAAGCGGGGAATATCTGCCATGATCCCAAAAAGGCCCCACCGAGTTCCTGGAAGCCCTCAATTCAAACCCTCTGAAAAGCTTTACTCAAAAAGATCCTCTTTAACCCCCCAAACAAAGGAAAGTATACAATATCCCAAGGCCAAACCTAAACCCTAAACCCTAAACCCCCCAAAAATAGAGAAAACACACCCCAAAAATAGGGAAAATACACCCTATCCCAAGGGCCAAACCTAGTTGCTGGAAGCACTTCCAGACCTGCCGCTGCTGCGGCGTCAGGTCCACGCAGAGGACGCGATGCCAGCCCTGACGCCGCCCCGCCTCCGCGCAGGCCTCGCTGCAGAAGACGGCGCCGCAGCCATTCCTTTTTGGGGTTTAGGGTTTAGGGTTTAGGGTTTAGGGTTTAGGGTTTAGGGTTTAGGGTTTAGGGTTTAGGGTTTGGGGTTTAGGGTTTAGGGTTTAGGGTTGGCGCCGCAGCCATTCCAAGGCTGGCCCCTTGAGAACGCACATCCCTCTAATATGATCCTCTTAAACCCCCGAAATAAAGTGAAACACACACCAAGGGGTCCCAAGACCCCTACCCAGATTCTCACCGATCATTATTCTCGTTGAACAAGGAAACCCAAAAAGCTGAAAGTTCAAGTATTGGAAAGTAATCATGGGTTTCCCTACTACCCCTCTATACTACCCTCCCCTAGGTTCCGCCCTACATATCTTTAATTAGGCATAATTATCCCCTACATTAGCCTTCATTATGGGGGGAACCCAGGGGGGTAGAAAAGGAGGGGGGCATTAGGGGAACCCATGAAGTAAGAGTACCCAGATTAGTATGACCCTCTCAAACCCTAAACCTAAACCCTCAACCCTAAAACCCCAAACCCCAAACCCTAAACCCCAAACCCTAAACCCTAAACCCTAAACCCCTCTAGTGCCCAGGTTCTCACAGGGCACCCGGCCGCGCAGCTGCCACTCGGGGCCCTCGAGGTCGGCAATCAGCTTGGGATCCTCGAGGTGGTCCTCCAGGCTCCCTGCCTTGGCCACCTCCAGGGACCCAGTTTAGGGTTTGGGGTTTGGGGTTTAGGGTTTGGGGTTTAGGGTTTAGGGTTTAGGGTTCAGGGTTTAGGGTTTAGGGTTTGGGGTTTGGGATTTGGGGTTTGGGGTTTGGGGTTTAAGGGTTTAGGCCGCCTCAAGGCACTTCCGGAGCGCAGAAGCCAAGCTTCCACAGAAGCGGTGGCAGTGGGTGCAGACCTCGCCTTAGCTGCAAGCCCTGAGAAACGGGGGCACCTCTCTGTGGAGTGTTCTTCTACGGTGAATGGACGCGTGTGTGTCCCATAATCCCACAGCCATCCTCGAACCCTACACCCTACACCCTAAACCCTAAACCCTAAACACTAAACCCTAAACCCTAAACCCTAAACCCTAAACCCTAAACCCTCAATCGCCTAAAACAGAAACCCTAAACCCGAAACCCGAAACCCCAAAGAACTGCCAACATCCGGGCCCAGCGACAGAGGCTCTGTGAGTCGCTGTACTGGAGTATGGAGAGAGGCGGCTGATTTGAGCAGATGGCCTCGCGCGCCTTGTCGCGAGGGCAGAGCGGAGGAATCGTGGGGAGGATGCAGGGCACGAGGCGACCGAAGGATGACTCGGACTCCGAGTTAGGGCAGACCGAGGCACCGAGAACCCTAAACCCTGAACCCTGAAACCTGAACCCGAAACCCTAAACCCTAAACCCTAAACCCTGAACCCTAAACCCTGAACCCTGAACCCGAAACCCTAAACCCTAAACCCGAGCCACCCCACCTCCACGTCCACGCCCGCAGCAAGGCCTCGGCCCCGGCCGTCGCTGAGCCGCTCGGCACGCAAGCGGCCCACGCGGAAGGGGCTGTAGACCTTGCGACTGGAGGAGGTTTGGGGTTTCGGGTTTAGGGTTTGGGGTTTAGGGTTTAGGGTTAGGGTTTAGGGTTTAGGGTTTAGGGTTTAGGGTTTAGGGTTTAGGGTTTAGGGTTTAGGGTTTAGGGTTTAGGGTTTAGGGTTTAGGGTTTAGGGTTTAGGGTTTAGGGTTTCCATTGAGATGCTGCCTTTGGGGACTGTTCGGTTTCCTATTCTCTGGGAAACATGGGAGGCAGGGGCTGTCAGAGCCTGAGCTGGCCAAACCGTTTTCCCCCTAAACCCTAAACCCTAAACCCTAAACCCTCAAGCCTAAACCCTAAACTGGGGTTAGGCGCACCCCTCAACAAACCAAAAACAAAACCCAAAGCCTACACCCTAAAACCCTAAAACCCTAAAACCCGAAAACCCTAAAACCCTAAAACCCTAAAACCCGAAAACCCTAAAACCCTCATACATCTACACCTTGAAGCCCCTAAAACCCCGCCCCCAAGACACCCCCAAACCCCTGAACCCCCCCCCCCCCCCCCCCCTTTAGAAAAAAAAATGATGAAACCCTAAAACCCCTAATGCCCAACCCCCCCCCCCCCCATCACCAAAAAAAACAACAACTAGAACCCCAAAAAAACCCTAAAGCCCAAAGCCTGAAGCCTAAAGCCTAAACCCTAAACCCTAAACCCTAAACCTAAACCCTAAACCCTAAACCCTAAACCCAAAACCCTAAACCTCCCAAAGTGCCTCGGGATGACGGCCGGGCCATGATTCGGACTGCGACCCCGTCCTTGGCAGACGCCGAGCTCCCCCAAACTCCGCCCGAAGCCACTGAAGGGTTTAGGGTTTAGGGTTTAGGGTTTAGGGTTTAGGGTTTAGGGTTTAGGGTTTAGGGTTTAGGGTTTAGGGTTTAGGGTTTAGGGTTTAGGGTTTAGGGTTTAGGGTTTTTAGGGTTTAGGGTTTTTAGGGTTTAGGGTTTAGGGTTTAGTGTTTGTTTAGAGGCTTTGGGCTTACGGATCCCTTACGGGGCCTGGGTTTAGGGCTTGGGGTTTAGCTGTTTAGGGGTTTAGGAATTTAGCGGTTTAGGGGTTTAGGGGTTTAGGGGTTTAGGGGTTTAGGGGTTTAGGGGTTTAGGGGTTTAGGGGTTTAGGGGTTTAGGGGTTTAGGGGTTTAGGGGTTTAGGGCTTAGGGCTTGGGGTTACGGTAAAGGGATGTAGGGTTTCGGGGTTAGTTTATGGTTTAGGCGGCTAGGGCTTTAGGGTGTAGGGGTTACCTTAACCTACAACTCGATTGATGACTTCGAGCAGCAGTTTTGAAAAGTGGAGATATCCCGGTAATTTCGGACCCATACTTGGAGGTTCATGGTACCTGCTTAGCCAATCATAGCTGTACTTCTAACCATATTGGGGCACTAAAGGGTCTTACAAGTGGGTTATAAGTACAGCCATAATTTGGGTTCATAAGTACCATGAACCTACAAGCATTCAGGCCCCCAAAGGTTCTGAAAACTCGAACCTAGGCCCTCAAGAGAACTTCGGATGGGCTTACCTAGGGCTTTGGATTGGCTCAGGGCTTTGGACAGGGTTTGGGGTTTAGCCGGGTTTAAGGCTTCGAGCTTCGGGCTTCGGATGGGTCTAGGGTCTAGGGTTTAGATTTTAAGGTTTAGGGTTTAGGGTTTAGGGTTTAGGGTTTAGGGCTTAGGGTTTAGGGTTTAGGGTTTACAAAGGTTTAGGTTTCAGGGTCTCGGGTTTTGGGTCTAGGCAGAAGAATGGATTCGGGGGCTTGTGCGTTCTCTGTTGGAAGAACCGGCGTGGGGTTGAAGGTTTATTGGGTTCCGGTGTGGGGCAGGGGGGCAGGGGTTGGTCTGTGAGTGGGTTTAGGGTTTAGGGTTTAGGGCTTAAGGTTTAAGGTTTAAGGTTTAGGGTGTAGGGTTTAGGGTTTAGGGTTTAGGGTTTAGGGTTTAGGGTTTAGGGTTTAGGGTTTAGGGTTTAGGGTTTAGGGTTTAGGGTTTAGGGTTTAGGGTTTAGGGTTTAGGGTTTAGGGTTTAGGGTTTAGGGTTTAGGGTTATTCACCCGACTTTGTTGGGGGACGATTTTGGCCCGTACTGCGGCCCGGCTGCCAGTCTGGTTGGTGCGAAGCGCAGTAGCCTCCAGGGCAACTGGATCGGTAGGGCTCTTCAGGGTTTAGGGTTTAGGGTTTAGGGTTTAGGGTTTAGGGTTTAGGGTTTAGGGTTTAGGGTTTAGGGTTTAGGGTAGCTCGATTTCAGGATGGAAGAGGCTTGGAGCTACATCTCCAGCAATGCCCCTGCAGCCACCAAAGTCAATGCCCTTTCGGGCTTAGATAGGGAGCGCGAGCTAGCTAAACCCTAAACCCTAAACCCAAAACCCTAAATCCTAAACCCTAACCCAAAACCCTAAGTGTGTTGACGAGCCCCCATTTTGAATGCCGAATGGCTTGTTTGAAGCAACCCGCAGTAGGCTTCTGCGACAAGTAGACTCGACGAGCTGTCCTATCCTCTCACCCCACAAATTATAGGGTCCCTAGGTACCTACCCCCCTTGAGCCTCCCTCCCTTAAGAACCCTAACCCTAAACCCTAAACCCGAAACCCTAAACCCTAAACCCTATCAACAAACTCCGCCTGGGAATCCCTCTTTCGGATTGCCCAAGGCCGAGTACAAGATGGCGGAGGGCATCGGCGCTTCGGCCATGGCTTCGAGTCGAGGACTCCCAGAGGCTCCAATACCCCTAAACCCTAAACCCTAAACCCTAAATCCTAAACCCTAAACCCTAAACCCTAAACCCTAAATCCTAAACCCTAAACCCTAAACCCTAAACCCTGAACCCTCTTGTAGTTTAAGGAATAGTCCTCAATTGAGGGTTATTGGAGTCCCCGGGCTGAAGAGGGGTTAAAGTTACAAGTTGCAAGTGTCTGCTGCCGGTGTAGCACTAAATTTGCGACTAGGACGACGTCACAATGACGATATGATGACAGGAGGAATGAAATGCCATGAGTAAGAAAACACCCTAAGCCCTGAACCCTAAACCCTAAACCCTATGAACCCTAAACCCTAAACCCGATAAACCCTAAACCCTAAACCCTACAAACCCTAAACAGCATTCCTAAACATCCGTCCACCAAACTGAGAGCCATACTTACGAATCTGATCGCTGCAGTTTCTGCGCCCTGTCCATGCTGACCCGGACTCAAGGATTGCAATCCCGACATTGCCCTGATTTTTTTTCCTTTCTTTTTTTTTTTTGGGGGGGGGGGGGTGGGGGGATGTTCCCCCTTATAATCACAGTCCTTCATTGGGACTATAGTACCCTCCACTATGATCCCTATTAAGGACTGTTAGTACAGGGGGGCAACATCCCCAGGGGGGGATTCTGAAGGAAACTAGCAGCAACTCCTTTACGCTTCGGTTGTTAAGCAGGCTTCTCTGGGCCTCCTCAGCACCGGGAGCCTGCAAAACCGCAAGCCCTTAAACCCTTAAACCCTGAAACCCCTAAACCCTTAAACCCTTAACCCTTAAACCCTAAAACCCTAAAACCCTTAAGCCCTCAACCCTAAAACCCTAAAACCCTTAACCCCTTAAACCCGTAAACCCTTAAACCCTTAAGCCCTTAAACCCTTAAACCCCTCAAACCCTTAAGCCCTTAAACCCTTAAACCCTTAAACCCCTGAAGCCTAAACCCTTAACCCTAAACCCCTAAACCCTAAACCCTGCAGCTTTCCGAAGCATGGGTGCCAATTGCTCTGGAGGGTTGATCGGATTTCAGGGGGTAGGGGAGGTGCCCTTTCTTGGCAAGCAGTGACTCCAGCAGCCTGGTTTAGGGTTTAGGTTTTTTTTTTAGGGTTTAGGGTTTAGGGTTTCGGGTTTAGGGTTTAGGGTTCTGTGCTCAACAACCACTGAACCCTGATGTTTTCGCTGAACCAGGATGTTTTCCCGTGGCATGTTGCCTCACTGCCTCGGCTTTTCGAGCGCTTTCTTCTTGAAGCGCTGTCGCAACCCAGAACCCTTACCAATCTGCCTTGCTACAGATCGTTAACCCTAAGCCCTAAACCCTAACCCTGGTTCAGGGTTTGGGGTTTCGGGTGGGTTTGGGGCTGGGTTTAGGGTTTTGGGCTTGGCGTTTGACGTTTGGGTGTTCTGGTTGGGGCTTAGGCTTTAGGATTTAGGGTTTAGGGTTTAGGGTTTGAGGTCTGATGTTTTCGGGTAGAATTGAAGGGGGCCCTTAGGACCTGGATATCAGCAGGGCTCGTGGTAGATGGTTATACACCAATTAGAGACCAGATCACGAGACCGTTTCCCACCGCGCCTAAGCCCTAAACCCGACACCCAAACCTCCCCAAGGCCTCCCCCCAAACCCTAAACCCTAAACCCTTCGAACCCCAAACCTGAAACCCTTCGAACGCCAAACCTGAAACCCTTCGAACCCCAAACTTTAAACCCTTCGAACCCGAACCTCGATAAGCCCCCGCCCCCTCCCCAGAAGCGAAGCTCAGCCCTGAGCGGGCTTAAAGCAGCCGCGCCCGCATGGCCGGCGCACGGCTTTGCTGAGGTGTTGAGGTTTGGGAGGGTTTCTTTTTTGGGTTTCTTTAGGGCTTCTTTAAGGTGCATTCGGGGTTGCTTTAAGGTGTATTTAGGGTTGCTTCAAGGGTGTATTTCGGGTTTGGGGTTCTTGTCGTGGTATAGTGTTGAGGGTTAATTTAGGGGTTTTGGTGTTCTTTCCTTTTGGGTTCCGTGTCTTTCGGCCAAACGGCTGCAGTGGAAGCCATGCCCAAACCCCACGACCGGTTTAGGGTTTAGGGTTTAGGGTTTAGGGTTTAGGGTTTAGGGTTTAGGGTTCAGGGTTTAGGGT